GGCATCTCCCGGCGAACAATCGGCCACCGGAAACGCCCGATTTGGCGGCGCGTGCACTTCACACGCGCGTGATTTTTGTTCCAGTCCTTCCAACTTCCTGCCGCGCGTGTGGACCACCTCCAACGCCGATTGCCGCCGTCTTTCTGCCGCCGACTCTTGTTGACGTCGGCTACCTTGTGGTGTGCTCGGATTTGGTTTTGGTGAACTTTTTAATTTTGGCCTGTTACTGCTATTTTATCCGGTTTGTGATCTGGTTCGTAATTTTCTTTCGTCTTGGTACTGTTGTTGGTTGCTGGTGCTTCTTTATTTTTTGGATATGGATTCTTGTATGGTGGTCTGCCACATTTGTCATGTTCGGGGTCATATTGCTCCAGTTTGTCCTACGGTGGTGTGCCACATTTGCCATGTTCAGGGTCATATTGCTACATATTGTCCAGCCAGATCGCACCGTTCGAGAGGTTCATTCTATCGACATCATGGCTCTTCCTCCACCGTCACTTCTTCTATTACAGCGTCTGTCACTACTGAGCCTCAGCATCCGTCTTACACTTATCAAGACATAGAAGCTATTCTCAAACAGGTTATTCTTTCCAATTCTTCTATGTCTGCTATCGGAGGCAAATCACATTGATATTTTGATTCTGGCTGTTCCAATCACATGACCTCTAGCCCACAGCTTTTGTCTTCTTCGTCTTCTGTAAACTCTTTACCTCCTATACATACTGCTAATGGTACTCTTATGAATGTTACTCACACTGGTTTGATTTCTTCCCCTTCCTTGCATCTTCCCGACACATACTGCGTTCCTAACCTAACCTTGAATCTTATTTCTGTTGGTCAATTGGTTGACTAAGGTCTTAATGTTATATTTTCATTTTCTGGTTTTCAGGTTCAGGATTCGCAGACGGGACAGCTTCTCGGGAAAGGTCGCAAGACGGGTCGGTTATTTGAGCTTGAGTCACTTCATGTCCCTCGTTCTTACTCTTTTTCTGCTTCTGCCACCGATAGTAAGTCTAGTTTCCAGTGGCATCTTCGTCTTGGGCATGCGTCTTCGAATAAAGTTCGTTCTTTATATAATAAGGGTATTTTGGGTTCAGGTCATTTTGAGTCTTTTAGTTGTCTTCATTGCAAACTTGGGAAACAACCGGCTCTTTCTTTTTCTGATAGTTTGTCAACTGCTGATAAACCTTTCGGTTTGGTACATTCTGATATTTGGGGTCCTTCTCCTGTTGCTTCTCTGAGTGGTTTTCGGTATTTTGTTATTTTTGTTGATGATTTTTCTCGTTTTACCTGGATCTATTTTCTCAAAAATCGTTCTGAGTTGTCTAGCATATATGTTCAATTTGCTAACATGATTCTTACACAATTTTCTTGTCCTATAAAAGGTCTTGCGTACTGATAATGCTCTTGAGTACAAAGATTCTACTTTTTTGAAATTTCTTTCTGATCAGGGCACCTTAGTTCAGCGTTCGTGTCCATATACTTCCCAACAAAATGGACGAGCTGAACGTAAACACCGTCACATTCTTGATACTGTCCGGGCTCTTCTTCTTTCTGCTCAGTGTCCTGATCGTTTTTGGGGTGAGGCAGCCTTGACTGTTGTTTATGCTATCAATCGGTTACCCTCATCAGTCATTAGTGATGTCAGTCATTTTGAGAGGTTGTACGGTCAGTCTCCTGATTATACTCAGTTACGTCCTTTTGGTTGTGTTTGCTTTGTTCTTCTTCCGTCCCATGAGCGGACCAAATTAGAACCCCGAGCTCGTCTGTGTTGTTTTTTGGGTTATGGGATAGAACACAAAGGATTTAGGTGTTGGGATCCGATTTCTAATCGGTTGCGTATTTCGCGTCATGTTACCTTTTGGGAGCATACTACATTTTCCTCCTTGTCTAGGTTCTACATTCCTTTTGATTCGGCGTCTTATTTATTCATGTCTATTACTTCAGATCTTTTTCCATATACAGATACAGGTTCTGACTCACAGCTCATTGACACGCCTGTCATGCCTCCGTCTTCTGAAGTGGCTCCACCTGTGCATCCTGAACCGACCGTTCGTACTGAGCCCTCTTCTGATTCTGTACCTTTGCCAGCTATTGATCAGCGACGGTCGACTTGTGTAAGTCGTCCCCCTTCTCACTTACTTGACTATCATTGTTATTCGGCCATTCTATCTCATCATGAGCCTAGGTCTTTTCGTGAGGCGAATGCTGATCTATTGTGGCAAAAAGCTATGACTGAGGAATTACATGCCTTAGAAAAGGCTCATACTTGGGATTTGGTGGATTTACCTGCTGGCAAGACTCCCATCGGATGTAAGTGGGTGTATAAGATCAAGACAAATTCAGATGGATCTATTGAGCGCTACAAAGCTCGTTTGGTTGCTAAGGGTTACTCCCAGGAGTGTGGCATAGATTATGAAGAGACCTTTGCACCGGTTGCTCGTCTTACTACTGTCCGGTGTTTACTTGCAGTTGCTGCTGTTCGTCGATGGTCTCTTCTACAGTTAGATGTCAAGAATGCCTTCTTACATGGAGCCTTGTCTGAGGAGGTTTACATGACTCCTCCTCCTGGATCATTGTCATCTGGGAAAGTTTGTCGTCTACATCGAGCTTTGTATGGCTTGAAACAAGCGCCTCGTGCTTGGTATGCCACGTTCAGTTCTACATTGTTTCATTTTGGTTTCACTACGAGTGATCACGATTCTGCTTTATTTCTTCGGCGCTCCTCCTTCGGGATCATTATTTTGCTACTCTATGTTGACGATACGATCATCACGGGGATGATATTACCGGTATTTTCGATTTGCAGGATTATCTTCGTCAGCATTTTGAGATGAAGAGTTTGGGCCAGCTTCGCTATTTTTTGGGTCTTGAGATCTTTGATTCATCTGATGGATTCTATTTGTCTCAAGCCAAGTATGCCTCTGATCTTATTGCTCGGGCCGGTCTCACTAATTGTCAAACAGCTTCCACTCCTCTTGATTATGATGTTCGTCTTACTCCACTTGATGGCTCTCTTCTTAAGGATCCCACATTATATCGTCAGCTTGTTGGGAGTTTGATATACTTGACTGTCACTCGGCCTGATATAGCTCATGCTGTTCATATTGTAAGTCAGTTTATGGCTGCTCCGAGAACCACGCATCATTCTGCTGTGTTGCACATCCTTCGCTATGTGAAGGGCACTCTATTGCATGGTTTACACTTCTCGGCTCATTCTTCTTTGACGCTTAGCGGTTATTCTGATGCAGATTGGGCTGGAGATCCTACTGATCGTCGTTCTATTACTGGGTACTGCTTCTTTCTGGGTGATTCACTTGTCTCTTGGCGCAGTAAGAAGCAAACATTGGTTTCCAGATCGAGTGCTGAGTCTGAGTATCGTGCTCTTGCTGATTCCACCTCAGAGTTATTATGGCTGCGTCGACTACTTGCTGATCTTGGTGCACCTCAGTCGGCGTCTACTGCTTTACATTGTGATAGTCAGAGTGCTATAAAGATGTCTCATAATGATACCTTTCATGAGCGTACCAAGCATATTGAGATTGACTGTCACTTCATTGGACAGCATGTTGCACATGGGACTGTGAAGCTTGTTTCCGTCTCCTCTATCGATCAACCAGCAGATGTCTTCATGAAGTCTCTCCTTCCCGGTCGCTTTTGTTTACTTCTTAGCAAACTCAAGTTGATCTCCACTATACCACCTTGAGTTTGAGGGGGGGTGTTAGTTATGTTAAATATTTTCTTGTACAATAAGTTAGGTTTAGGCGGCTAAGGCCCTTCTATGTATCTATATATATGTGTACATGTCTTGTGAATAATACATATCATATTTTTTCCAATTTCTCACAGTGATGTTGGTTGGTGGGGGTTGGTTGTGTCTCGTAGGTTTGGGATGTGGTCTCGACCGGTGGTTGGGATGGGATCATCGGTCGGGAGTTGGGGAGAAAGGAGTTGTTCTCTAGTGTTGGTCTAGGGGTTGCCGTTCGGGAGAGGAGTTTGGTCCGATTGATGTTCCAATTAGCCGCTTGCTGGAGTTTTTGTTTCGGATTCTTGGATTGGATTTCTTTCCCTTGTGCGGTCGTCTCTAGGTGTCGAGCCATGGATTGTTGTGGAATGTCTGCTGGCGAGAGGAGAGTTTTATTCTAGTATTGTAGTATTGTTAGTGTTTGTGTTGCGTAGTGTTTTGGGTTGCCTTGTTAGCCTTTTGTTTTATTCTTCTTAGTAGAAGCTCGATTCTCCCGTATGGGACTGTTTCGATTCTCCCGTATAGGATTGTTTAGTTTGTCTGTTTGTGGGTGCGTTAGTGTAGATCTCCAGGCTACCATTGTGTATATGTCTCCCTTAGATTCAGTTGGATGGCTGTTTGGCTATTCCTAATTGTATCTAGGTTTGTAATTATGTGTTTTTATTAATCGAATCTATCGTTTTGAAAAAAATAAAATAAAAAAATCATCAAAATAACATCAAGAAACTAGAATTAAATTAGAAATATGCCATGAAAATACACTAAAAGAAATGGTGTAAGGTTTGGACCCGACCCGTTTGATTTGACACCTTACGCATTAGGGCGGTATACAAGTTATGTTAGTACCACATCGACTAGTTTATGGACTATTCATTCTTCGTAAATGTGCTTTGAACACTCACCCTTTGAGCTACTTTTTTAGATGACTTGTACTAGCCCATTTATCAAACACAAAAGAATAAAAAAATCATAAATTAATAAATAAGATGCATATGTCATATTATAGAAAGACGCAATGGTCCCGTTACGGAACTATTCCGTCGAAGTTTGTAAATGTTAGATCAAATATTTGTAGGGTGTGCAAACTCAATCCCACATCAGAAAATTAATGGTTTCAAGTTCAATATATAAGCTTAGTGGGCTACTCTCTTTATTGTCAATTGGTTTTATAATGGAACCCCACTTAGGCTTGTATGGTGGGCTTGATAGAGAACTGGGTTTTGAGTTGTTGGTCCTAACAATTGGTATCAGAGCCACGATTGGTAGCACAGTTGCGTTGTGGATGACGTGACATGTTCCCTTGGAGCAGGAAAGGTCGGTGGATCCGTGTGCCTTGTGTCGGAAGTCTTCCTGACGAAAGAGTGTGGTCAGACGGCGGGTTCCGTGGGTGATAACGGCGGTACAAGATGGTCGAACCGTATGAATTTCGTTCAAGGAGAGGCCAATGTGGTCTTGTGTTTGAGGGGGGTTTGTAGGGTGTGCAAACTCAATCCCACATCAGAAAACTAACGGTTTTCAAGTTCAATATATAAGCTTAGTGGGCTATACCTCTATTGTCAATTGGTTTTAGAATGAAACTCCATTTAGGCTTGTATGTTGGGCTTGATGGAGAACTGAGTTTTGAGTTGTTGGTCTTAACACTATCTCTAGCGGTTACATGATGATCTAATGGTTACAAACCCCGACAGAATGGT